TTTTCCACACTAATAGTCAGTTTGTTTCTCTGGCACCAATCGGCAAACAAAGTCAGCGAGTTTTGCAGAAGCCAACAATCTTCTTGTGTGCGCACCACAATGTACAGCTTTAAATCATCTGCATAGACCAGTTTGAATCCTTCGCCCAAAACCAAAGCAGCATCGTTGAAGAACAGGATAAACAGCAACGGTCCGAGATTACTACCTTGTGGAACTCCAGACTTGTTTGAAAACGGCAAAGATACAAAACCCTCAACCTTCACTCGAAGTACACGCTCTGTAAGGTAGGATTCCAACCAAAAAACCAATTGCATAGAAACTCCAAGACGAGATAACTTGTGTAGCAGTATGTTATGATCAATTTTATCGAACGCCGCCTTCAGGTCGGTATAAATTACACATTATGTTTTGGATGGAGATGCGAAACCATTCCAGACGGGAGCACGGCGTTTGGCATAATGTACGATAGGCATTATGGATGGTTGGCACAATGGACGATAGGCATAATTCATATTTAATTTATTTTCATTCTTAATTCATGAGTTATTCTTTGCAAACAATCTTAATCTTCTTTAAACATTCGTGATTTCTTATGTTTTGAGATGAGAGCTAAAAGTTTAGCTGAGTTCATTAATAATATCATTTATTTGTAAAGGTTCAATTGCGTTAGCTTTGCGAAGCCGTAATTTAATGTATAATAGCAATATTTCTTATGACTAAAATAAGTAGAACGGGGACCAAATACTCGCGGCTTACTCGAGGTTAAGGACACCAATTTTTTTAACAGGTTGGATGTGGACTTGGGATAAGATACATGGGGATGAATTGTCGTTTTAACCTCCGTCACCGTTGCAATGCTGAATGACGTGGAAAAAGCACTGCAATGTTTTCATTGATGTACATCAATTTAAAAACGAAATAAAAAAAAATTACTTTTTTTATATCTGAGTATCCCTCTTAAGCAAAAATTTTCACGACTCAAATAAAGTACTCAAAGAATGAAGAAACGTTTAAGAACAAATCAAAATGTTACGCTCAATAGTTTAGTCGCAAATAGCCGCCTTACTATTTTTTTAAAATTTCATCCTACTGTTGGAATTTGGCGAAAAAATCCGGAATCAAAAGGGACACTGGAGTTGGAGTCTAGTCTTATGGACGGGTTGATTCCACTTGAACAACACCGTACGTATGGCAGCTTCTATGTCCTCGTCCATACGGTTTAGGCAGACGACACATTGTTAAAAGGCCGATAAAATAAACATTTAACAGTCCGGAACGTCTGCAATCCCTGTCCAAACATTTCCGTCGGAATCAGCTGGAATCCTGATCAAGAATGTCCGAAATTCCTTCGGGAGCGATTTTAGTATCCGTCAGGAACGTCTGGAATCCATGTCAGGGACGCTTAAAAACTCTATCAACTGGAATTCACGCGGGAGATTTCCAAAATCACCACGGGAATCCTCGTCCGGAGTGCCCGGAATCTTGTCAGGATCATCTGGAATCTCCATCGGAAACTGCTGCAATCATTGGAAATCACCGGAAACGTCTGGAAGCTTAGTCAGGAATCACTTCGAGAATATCCGGAATTTCCATCGGTAGTTGCTGTAACCCTGGTCAGCAATGTCCGGAATCCCTTCGAGAACGTATTTAGTACCAGTCGGGAACGCTTGGAAGCACTATCAACTGGAATTATCATTGGGAATGTCTGAAATCGCCACAGGATCGTCTGGTATTTCCAGTGTACACTACTGGAATCTCCGTTGTGAGTGTCCGGAATCACTTCAGGTACATCTGGAATCTCCATCGGGAGCTGCTGGAATCATCGGAAATCGTCGGGAACGTCTTGAAGCTCAGTTAGAAACATCTTGAAACCACATTGTGAGTGTCCGGAATCACTTCTGGAACATCTGCAATCTTCATCGGGAGCCTCTGAAATACTTATCAGGAATGTTCAGAATCCCTCCGGGAACATATTTAATACCCATCGCCGTCGGGAACGCTTAAAAACTCTACCAACTGGAATTCTCGTGGGAAATTTTCATAATCACCACGGGAATCCTCGTCCAGAGTGCCCGGAATCTCTTCAGGATCATCTGGAATCTCCATCGGGAACTGCTGCAAACATTAGAAATCACCGGAAACGTCTGGAAGCTCAGTCAGGAACATCTTGAAACCGCATTGAAAGAGTCCGGAATTACTTCGAGGAACATCCGGAATTTCCATCGGTAGTTGCTGTAATCCTGGTCAGGAATGTCCGGAATCCCTAAGGGAACGTATTTAGTACCCGTTGGGAACGCTTGGAAGCTCTATCAACTGGAATTATCATTTAAAATGTCTGGTATTTCCAGTGTAAACTGCTGGAATCCCCGTTGTGAGTGTCCGCAATCAATTCAGGTGCATCTGGAACCACCATCGGGAACGTCTGGAAGCTCAGTCAGAAACATCTTGAAACCACATTGGGAGTGTTCGGAATCCCTTTTGGAACATCTGGAATATCAATCGGGAGCGGCTGAAATCTTGGTCAGGAATGTTCAATATTCCTCCGGGAACGTATTTATTACCCATTGCCGTCGGGATCGCTTGGAAGCTCTATCAACTGGAATTATCATTGGAAATGTCTGACATCCCCTCGGAAACGTCTAGAATTTCCATTGTAAACTGTTGGAGTCCCCGTCGTGATAGTCCAGAATCTCTTCAGGATCATCTGGAATCTCCATCGGGAACTGCTGAGATCATTGTAAATCGCCGGCAACGTTTGGAAGCTCAGTCAGAAACATCTTGAAACCGCATTGGGAGCGTCCAGAATAACTTCTAGAACATCTGAAACCTACATCGGAAGCTGCTGGAATCCTGGTCAGGCATCCCTCCGGGAACGTATTTAGTACCCGTCGGAAACGCTTGGAAGCTCTATCAACTGGAATTATCATTGAAATCGCCACGGGACCGTCTGGAATTTCCAGAGTAAACTGCTGGAATCCCCGTTGTGAGTGTCCGGAATCTCTTCAGGTACATCTGGAATCTCCATCTGGAACTGCTGGAATCATCGGACAACGCCGGGAGCGTCTGTGAACGGATTGTCCGGAATCACGAATTGATTTTATGAAGTGATTAAATTTGGTTGTTAGTGGAATGCTCAAAAACAGCAATGCTGGCAACAAAGCCTTTGGGGGTTTTCCTTATTTAAAAGTTGTTAAGATTTTCCATATTTACTTTACTTAATTATTGTTTGACTATATGTTTAGTATTACTTCTGCGTGAAGTCAACGATTTACATAGTTGAAGATGCTAATTTCAAATAACAGACTGTAGTGGTAATTTTTTTTACGATAGATGGAGTAGATGAAAGCATAGAGTTGATAGTTCCGTTAGAAAACGGGAGTGTGAAAATTGCATACAGAAAGTAGAATAGCGAGCTAGGACAACTTTTAAGGAAGGTACAAATCGGTTTTTTCATCTCTCTTTACCAAACTCCCCCTTTGGAGAGGGATGGTGAGGGGTGTCCATCCCCCCAGGAGACTTTTGAGAAGTTAATGGAATTTTGTAGATGTTTAGGGGTTTTTGTATGAGTTATAGGAAATACGTTAAAGATAAGCAAACTTGGTAGACATTTAATAAATTTTCTATAAGTTTAGGAAACTTTGTATGAGCGATGAACAAATCGTAGAAGTTCAAGGAGCTTCCCAGGGATTTGCAGAACTATCAACAAGTTCAGGAAACTACACAGAAGATGAGCAATTTTTGGATAAACTAAAGTGATTGGGAGGAAGTTCAGAGAGCTCCGTTTAAGTTCAAGTAACGTTGTGGAAGTTTAGGAAACTTTGTTGAAGTTAAAGAACCTTCGTAGAATTTTAGATATATCGATTATATCGACAGATTTTCAATATGGCCATGGCGAAAATAATCAAGCAACTACGCTCGATGGTTTGTTCGTACTGCCATCTCCACCCCGGAAAGAAGAAGTTGGACATCGTGAGGCACTTCGTGTCCGCCGAATATATGCGACCGGGCATTTACAACATCCTCTCCCTTCTAGAGAAAGGCGGGAGCGTCGAATGGAAGCTTGGTTCCGGCCACCCGACGGTGCTGCACGACCGTATAGTGCAGCAGAAGCTGAATAAGAAGACCGAGGGCAAGGTGGTCTTATCGTTCCGCGTCTTGGGCCGGGAGGTCGAGGCAAACCGGGCATACGGTGAAGAAGTACCTGGATATTGTTATGCGGAAGCGTCAGTCAAGACAGGCCATGTCTGAGCAACAGGCAATCACCCAGAAGGAGTGGCTGAAGGTGCTTGAGAAAAATATCTTTCCGGTGAAGCACGACATCGTGGAAGACCACCAACCCTCCCAGTTGTGACTGATGGAAATTATTTTCAATAATTTCAATAACTTCGTGGCCAAAACGGAGGAGCAGCTCATCGCCAAAGCCACGAAAGAGCTGAAGAACATGCCGACATCCAGCTTTCATCGGTCATGGCTACGGTTCTGGCCAACTGGGGTTAGGCTGCCCGACAGGGTGTCAAAGCATTTTTGAAGAAGGCTTAATAAACGTAGGATTTAAGGAAACTTTGTTTCATTGAATTACCTAATGTAGTTTTTTTCACCACCATCTGAAATCAGCCAATTTTGAATGCTCACATTATTCAAGAAATTTGCATCAATATACACTATCAAATGTTGGCCCAATGTCACCCTGTCTTACGGTATTAAAATAATCTTTTTAATTCTATATGAAATCTCAAAAATTGATATTCCTAGGAAAATATATCTGTTTATGGGTTGAAGTTCGAAAACCGGTTCAAACACCAATAAATCGCTATATTTGGCAACGCTGCATTGAAGACTCAAAGCTGACATCTCTGGTTTCCGTGCAACATCAATCAATCATATGACGATTACGATTTAAAAAAGCGTGTTCAAAATTCTATTAAAATCAAAGCTTCCAAACTATCGAAACCATCAACCAACGCATTCTAATCCCAAACTTTCCCGTCCTCTCATTCCAGGCGTCTGTACCAATGCCACCGCACCCTCGGTCTCCTCCATCAACCGAATCCTCCGGAACCGGGCGGCAGAACGGGCAGCTGCGGAATTTGCCCGGGCCGCTGGCTACGGTCTGTACCCACCGCCACCGTACGGAGGCTTCCCATGGCCGACGCCAGCCCATCTGTGGCCTCCGGGTCAATCGCTACCGGGTATGACCCCACCCGGTAGCAGCTCCAACTCCACCCCCGTCACCATCGGGTCACCTGGATCCGGATCGCACGACACCCTCGGCAGTCCGGATGGCAATCGACTGATCGGTGAGTATGGTAAATAATTGACTAGCACCGTCCGGAACTGGGGCTTCGATGCTAATGTGTGCTTCCGTTGCCTCGTTGTAGATATCGAGGGAGAGGATTCCAACAGCCTGGACGGAGATCAACCAAAGTTTAGACGCAATAGGACAACCTTTACACCCGAGCAGCTCGAAGAGCTGGAGAAGGAGTTTGACAAGTCGCACTACCCCTGTGTCAGCACCCGAGAGCGCCTAGCATCCCGAACTTTGCTCAGCGAAGCCCGCGTACAGGTTAGTAGTCGAGACCCTAGTCATAAGTGTTTGACTAATATACTATAACTTGAACTACTAGGTTTGGTTTTCCAACAGACGGGCGAAATGGCGACGTCATCAAAGAATGAATCTTTTAAAAAGGTCCAGTTCGCCGAATTCCCGAGCGGCGGCAGCAAGTTCCGCTTTCACCCCTGGTTCCCCCCCACCGCGGCCGAGATCGGGATCGGCGTCGGCCACCGGAGTCCACCCGCCACTGGGAGCGGCAGCCCATCACCAAAACCAGTCAACCTCACCGGTGGCGTCCCACCTGGCAGCGTCGCAGGCCCATGCCCAGGCCCAGGCAGCAGCGGCAGTGGCAGCAGCTCAGGCGGCATCATTAGTCACAGCATCAGCTCCATTATTAATGGGCGGTGAGCATAGTGCATTCCGCTCGTTGGTCCCGACCTCGGCGGCAGCATCGTTCTTTGCCGGTCTGTCCCGTTCGTATGCCGCCACCACCGGCACCAGCTGTTCGTCCAATCCGTCGGCCAGTCCGGTCCCGAGCGATTCCGACGAGGAAATCAACGTTCACGAGGATGAGTCCGACATTGAAGTCTCGAGTCGGAACGGCGACGGCGGAGGGCCATCCACCACCCCGCTGCAGCTGACCAAACATGAACGACACTAGGTGCGGATTGGAGCGGAGCGTAGAGGCACGGTAGTACTCAAATTTATCTCTTAATTATTTAAAGCCCCTCCCCCCAACAAAATCAAATTTTGATCTGTAAATACCCCAACCCCTTTGGTGCAATTTCCGATGTCTTTTCAATGGCTCCCATTTTCCCGTTACGCAATCCATAGGTTTCAATATGGCTGCTGCTAGTGCAGTCAACGAGACTACATCGATCGACGGCATTGGCAGAGGAAACCTTAGAAATTGAATACCCTCGCCCAGGCGCAAGCACGATTACCCCTCTTTTACTTAATGGCTCTCTATGCTGCCGGACGGAACGGAACGGATGGACGTACGGACGCAGCGCAGCCATGAAGCAACACACGAATATGGCACTGAAGTGACGGCGACGACGCCGGCCGTACGGTCAGTCGCAATAAGTGGGTTGTCGCTCATTGGCATCTCGCTCGCTCGGTGCTGATGCCTGTAGTAGAGCATACCCGATACCTACCAGTAGGGAAAAGAAGAAATGGTCGTTCGAAGCATAATGCAGTGTAATCGAATGCCACTGCCCAAATTGGAGGGTTAGCTCTATGGCGCCATCGCAGTTTTACCACTTTTGTTTGTGTCGTACTGAACGAGCACTGCTGAAGGGGAAATATTGAAAACGTTTCGGCCCGTTTTGGGACCTTTTCCAAGGGTCGAAAGCAGTTTATGTCGTGTTTTATATTATAATTATCATGTTACAAAATTTATTTGATTATCGATTGTCACCGGTTTTTTTTTAACAAAGAAGCATTATTTGTTAGTAGACTGAGTTCAACCGGAATGTAACCGGCACTCGGGTGTCTAATCTTCCACCAACTGGAGGTTTTCCAAGCATGGTTTCATAAAATATTTGCAACATTTAAAGATCTCTGCCTTCATTTGCGTATGAAAAATTGCCTACACTCCCTCGATGGCGTAATTCATTACCATAATTAGCCTTCTGCTGCAATTTCTATATCATTCAAAACAAGCTCACCAACACAGTTGCTTGCACATACTGACTCTTAAAAAAAAACTACTTCAACAAACCAGTTTGTCACATCACCCTAGAGCCTTAGGGCCTGCCGAGCGCTCGAATCCCACATCGTAAACCCGCACCATCGATTGCGTGAATGCGTCATTAGTCGCCTGAAGGAATTCCGCTCTTCTCGCCCCTTTTGGCCGCGCTCTTTTTCACCCAGCGCGAAATGCGAACCTGTCACGCGAACCAACCTGCTCCTTCCACCACCCTTCCATCGCTTTCCTTAGCTTGGCCAAGCTGGTGTGCAAACTTCAACCATTCTAAGGTTCATTAACTTGTACATAATTTCAATTACACGCCGTTTTACGCGCATTTTAACAGATCCATAAAACAAAAGAACCCTTGGTAGAGCGGCCAAATGAGAGTCGAAAAGATATCGGAAAACATAATTTATCATAATTAGCTCTAACTCGAAAGTGAAAACGAAAATAAAATAAAAATAAAACAAAGCAAACTAACAAGCGAAGCAACGACGAGGCACTGCACTGTAGAAAATCCAATAGGAAAAAAAATGCTACACTGCAAACTACTTGATCTACTACTATTTAGCGCAGTAATTAGTGCAAATGTATACGGCTCCACCTTTTATCGCTCTTTCACGCTCACCAGACACGGCCGGTAGTAAAACAACAACAACAACAACAACAGCAACACGTTCAGAGTAAGGTGAAAGAAAATGAAAAGAATTAACGAACGGTGATAACGATAATGATGTTGTGAAAAACCGACACCAAACATCGGCGATAAGCCAAGTTCCGACTATCTATAGATAAACATGAATTAAGTTGTACACTTTCATACACAGCACACACCCACACACAATCACGCATTCTACGAAAATGGAAACGCAATGAAGAGCGTGTGTCGAAAAGAGGGTGGAGTGAGTGAGTGAGCGAGAAAGGGAGAAACACACACACACACACACACACATACAAAGTATTAAGTTAATTAAATTATGTATTTTATTTAGGTGATAAGAACAGTGCAAACTGCGTTGCTAGAAAAGAGAGCTCTAAGAAATAGAAGTAGAACGCAGCGTATGTAAGGAAGGTAGAGATAAACAGATTGGAAGGTATGAAGAGAACCAGTGATGATCGCTGTGTGAGAAGGAGAAGAAAACCGATAGCGAAAGGGGGAAAAATCGTGTTATTAGCTTGTAGGTAATGAAATTTATTTTGATGACGAGATAAAGAAAAATTGAAAATATGGAAAACTGAAAGAGTTCTTTATTTTTGCAATAAACAATCCGAAATGAGTCCAGTTTTCTATAAATGCGGTTGTCAGTAGATGTTGTCCAATTCTAGATAGAGCTTGAATTAGGGCGTAACAGTTTTCGAAAACAATGACTTCTCTCGATGATTTCCAGAAAGTCAAGGCTCGCCCACGCAAATCAACATCACCAGCTTCCCCTTCACGATGGTTATGTTGGTTTGTGTGAGCATGCCTTGAATTCTTTGAAATCATCCAGAGAAGCCATTGTTTAAAAAAGCTGTTGCGCCCTAATTCCAGCTCAATCTAGAATTGATTATTCATAGGTCATAGTTGGCTGTCTTAAATCTCCAAACAACACTTCCTAGACTGTGCTCTTCTTGGTCTAACAACGTAGGTCGTTCGACTCCGGTTCGCCTCATAATGGCCAAATTCGAGGCAAACTCCATCGCTGTGAGATCTTGGTGTCTGGTATTCTTACAGCATGTTTCGTCCATCCTACCCTTCCACCTTCACCACCCAAGATGGCCCTAAGCTATACACTTAGAAATAACTACTTTTACACGAGACGTAATCTACATTGGACGTAAACCATGGAACGTAAACAAACATTTCATGTAAAATTAAGTGTTCTCAAACCGAAACATAAGCAACTCGACGAAGAGAACGTATGATTGAATTTATTTTCTCATTTCTTTCAACTGATTCTTACGTCAAAAGGGCCGCTTACATGTGTCGGTCTCAGGGAACCGAAATTTACTTGACTTTTTGGTAGTGTGTAGCGACGTTCGGAAACTCCTAGTGGTTTCCGGTTTTCCTTGAGAACTACCAGTCTTATCAGCAATAATCCAAGGTACACAAATGCATGGATCACCTTGAACTTGATGACAACCTATTAGGGGTCGATAATAAACCACGTATGAGTAATTCCATCTCAAGTGACCGATTCTCTTGAACCATGCAAATAATTATGTAAAAGTATAGTCCAAGAAATACCCAAAGTCTTTGCCGAAGGGTGTGTGGTGCTAGAGTGTATCTAAAAGAAGTTATAGTTAGTTAGTTATAAATGAAAGTCGGATTCCAAACTGAAATAATTTCGGAGTTTCTTATCGTATTGGTTTGGTATTCTTATTCTTCATCTTTTTATTCGGGTTTCAAGCTTGTTATTGCATATTAGCATATTGCATGCTCTCAACTTAGTGTTCTAGGTGCATTTGCACAATTATTAATTGAGAGCTTTCGATGCCTGTACCATTTTTGCATAAGTATAATTGTGTGGCAAGTACAATCATAAAACCTATATTGATCCACCGTAGAACCTTTGTTACACAGTATAATCTCGATTTTTGATATTATCCATAGATAGACGAGGCCTTAATAGACATTTTTTTTTTTTTTTTTTATTGCTAGTTTGAATTGGAGTCCGAATCATAATTCTATGACCAATTGATTTATGTCTTCACGTTTATTTCCTAACATGACAATAAGTTTAAAATATAATAGTAGTTTATCTATGCGGAGCTGATATAAAATTTACGTAGTGCGAAGTGTATTCAAATCACTTTCTTTTTCTTGGCTTACAACTGGAGCTTTATGAATTTATAATTAAGCTACTTTATTGTGATATTGAAAGTGTTTTTATGCTGCTTCATACGCGAAGTTAATGATTTTCAGAGTTGGTTGGAAATGCTAACATGAAGCTTTAGCGTGATGATTTATTAGCTAGAGAATGATCTTTAGAAGAGGGTAGGTGGATAGTTCCGTTAGAGTACGGCAGTATGAAAATTGAATAGAAGTTGAAAATGAGCGAAAGGCCAGTAATGCGACAGTTTTCAAGATAGACGCACATTTTTGCCTAACCCGTACGATGCACACTTTGAATGTAACAACTCAAGGCGGGAGTAGCCGTCAATAATGCTGATGATGGTACAGCACGCAACAACCACCCTACTGCTTTCTCTCTGAGATGATCACGTTGGTCATGATGAGAGGAGCAACACAATAGTTGGGTAAAGAAGAACTGCATTATAACACACCATCGACTGGAAATGCTCTCGCAACGTGGGGCTTTAGGTAGAGATGAAAACGTCGCTAGAACTATTCCACAGCCACAGTCAGTTTATGAGCAAAAAGAGGGACGCACATTTTTGCCTGTGGACTTGGAGACATACTTCAAGTCCCCGCGTACATCGTACGGGTTAGGCAGAAATGTGCGTCTATCTTGAAAAACTGTCGCATTAATGGCCCTTCGCTCATTTTCAACTTCTATTCAATTTTCATACTGCCGTACTCTAACGGAACTATACACCTACCCTCTTCTAAAGATCATTCTCTAGCTAATAAATCCGAGGGGGACGACTCTATCTACGATGTAGAAAAGATTGTGTTTTGCTTTGGCTAGCTGCGCGCACGCTGAGTAGAAGATTGATGACGATTCTGAAGATTTCCTGCAAAAAGATGATGCGCGATGCAAGTAGATGCGAGAAATGAAAGAAGATTTTTCGAAAGTTGATTCGCTAGTGTGAGATTTGTTGAGCATCTAGACTTGAGATTTAGATGTGTCGCCCCCCTCGAATAAATCATCACACTAAAGCTTCATGTTAGCATTTCCAACCGACTTTATTGTGTTCTACATACTTAAAGCACAATCTTATTATATACAATCTAATTATATTGCAATAATATTTGACAAACTAATAAAGTTAAATAATCAATCATTCATAATTCTCTTCATCGATTTTCTCTTTCGACAATAACCCGACTGCAAATTGATTTCCCATTCAGTGTGTTGATTCAGGCGCAAGATAACTAAAGTCGCTATATTTATAGTCTGGCGGATAGAATTTCGATAGCATAGCATAGCATAGCATAGCATAGCATATGCGATTGTACAAATCGTGGGTGGCTATATAATGGTCAACTAATACGTTTTGCAGAAAATATCGAGTGTTGACGCAGAAAATATCGCTTGGGATTAGTGATTTTCCCCACACGAAAATAAAATCTACAATACAAGCATCGCATTATACACCTGGCCACATCCTTACAATCGCAGGGGAAGGGAGGGAAAGTTAATCCAACATCTACTTAAGAAG